CAGCTCTTAGTTCCTGGGCTTTCCAGACTGTGGTGCCTTTTATGAGATTACTTGTACTGTATTTCACGTAAGTTTAACTGGGTCCTGTGGTTTTCTCCCACTTTTCAAAGACATCCTGGCTGGCTTAACTGGTAGCTTTAAATTGTCCACGTGTGGGTGCTTTGCTTTAGTAAAGAAGAGGAATCCTGCCTTGTGCCTTATGCCCCAGGAGATCAACTCCACTCCAGATTTTTCTGACCCCTACTCGTAATAAAAGACGTCTTGAAATTGGATGGATAAATAGAAGCACATGGGACCTTTAACACTCATGTTAACTTTCAAACAAACAGTAGGTCTGAAAGGGAAATATAGAAAATTATGTTAAACAGACTGAAATTTTTAACTTTTCTGTTTGTCATAAATGAATCAAGCCCTTGAATTAATTACTATTAAAACAGATAATAAATCACTCATGCTCAGAACTCACAATTTAGTTATGTGAAGTAACATCGTTTTTAATATCAAAGCAAAATAATCTATTAATTCCAAGATCTCATTTTGAAATATAAAATTATTTCTTGAAATATGTTTCACATAAAGCCTTTCAAAAGCAGTTATGAGCTGGTATGTTTCAGCAGCCATTGTGCCACAAGGGGTTTTGAAGAGTCCTGCAGATGTCACAGAATTAAACAACACAGGAGGAACAAGTACTTAAAGCTCACCCAAAGAGATTTAAAAAACATGTTGGCATTTATTCGGCTAATTTATTAAGTTTCCACCTTTAGCATAAATAACAGAATATTTAGCTTTTTCCAACAAGGGTTTAACAATTTCACTATGTAGAAAGGCTCTACATTTACTTGATATGAATTAATGTTTTTTTCACCCAGCATGATATACTGTACGGTATCAGTGCAAAACATTTCACTTGTTTAGCACTTACTACTTTGCTATGAAGTATTTGATGGGAAGAACTTAATTCCTTTAATTTTCAATAATATGCCATTTCGGCATTTCTATCTTGGGATCAACATAGCTGAAGACAGTACAGATATTCAGCATTTCTTTTACTTCATGGGACTTAATACTAAATATTTCAATACTCTTTTTTTAATTTTTTTGTATTCTTATTTACAGTACCTATCACTGAAGTCCCATATTCAAAGAGAAATAAAACAACCAGTTCAGAAATGCATGTTTTCAAAAAAACAGGACAGTATTATGAAGGTTAGTATTATGAGTGGTGGCATAGTTGTTATCACACTACCTCACAGCTCTGGGATTGGGTTCTGAACTGGGTTGCCTTCTGTGTGTAGTTCTCCCAATATCCAAGTTGTTTTTTACCACACACTCCTCTTTCTTTCCATTGGCCAAAGGCATGCTGACTAGGTTAATTGGTGTCTATAAATTGGCCCTGTGTGTGTACTTTGCAAGGAAGTGTTGTCCTGACCAGGGTGTACTCTGCTTCAGGGCTCCAGATTGTTCTGTCCCTTACTAAGTGTGCTCTTCTATGGGCTGGAATGACAGGGTGTGGGTCTACCTTTCCTCCTGTGCTTCCAAGATAGGCCACTGGTTGCTGTGCTCTTTAATGACTTTCTAATAATTGATGGATGGACTGCTATGAAGAGCTTCCTTGGTATGCTGTATATTCTGACTTAAACACATATTCAGTTCAAGTCAATGACAAACTAAATGATAGGGAAAAGACAGAAACTATCCTCATAATGTCCCTGTCATTGGCAAGAATCATTGCAAGTGTATCCCTTGACAAAGTACCCTGTTTTTATATAAATGTCAAGTACTTTGGTGTGTCAATACATACAGTATATGATCTTATAGGGTCAAATAATAACCATGAGCAGAATCTGTGAATTCCGGATTTGTTCCAGAATGTATCTGGAGATGATAACTTTTAATAAAACTTGATTTAGTCTGGTGTTGTACAGCTCCATATTGAATAACCTTTACATCAGATGCATTTTTAAAAAATGAATACAATTACAGTGAACTCATTTTAACAAAGTATAAACATTCAATAGAATTAAATCCTTGTTAAAGTACATACAGTAATGGCTTCTCAAATGGTACATGTAGTAAATATATAAGATGGTGGCTGTTGTCTGGAATTCGTCATTGGTCAGCTTTGCCAGACTTCCCAAAGCGGCTCAGCTTGCTTTGGCCAAGTCTGTTGGTTTTGCCACACTCCAAACAGAACCACTTCCTGCATTTTCATGGTCACCTTCAATCTTGCAGTAGCCAGAGTGGAAGATGTACTTCTCTACCAATGGGTACTAAGAGAGTTTAGGTGCAACATCTTTTAAAGTAACAGGTTAAGGTTGATTCCATGCTGAAAGGAAAAGAGACACAATGTTTTGGCCTGGAAAGCCTTTGTCAGGAGCCTTCTTCATTAAACCTGAAGAAGGCTTCACAACACAGCCACTTTTCTTTTCCTTTCAGCATGAAATAAACGTTTACCTGTTCCTTTGCAGCTGCTGACAGAGCTACTTCCTTGATCTTTTAAAATACTAAAGTACTAGGATCTATGCTATTGTACAAGATAGCATAAGCAATAATGATCAATACTTCACCTGTTGGCAGCTTTTGAGGAAAAAGAAAGTTTCTTTTTTTTCAACATGCCAATACAAATTAGCCAAAATGGCAAACCTATATGGGTCCTATACCATGTTGGGGTTTGAAATATGATGAAGAACTTCACTATCCATAATAATTCCAAGTCATATGCTTTCTGTCAGTATCACTGATCATTTGCTTGGCTATATAAAGGAAAAAGGGTTAGCATTTTAACTGAGTAGGTACTACTCCTTTTTGTATGCATGCATTTAATTACATTTAGGACATTGTTAAAATGGTTGCTTGGTCAGGCATTTAGAAAATATTTATTTCTAAAAGAAGACCGTAATTACCAAAAGATTCCTATTGTGTTGAAATTTATCCCAACTCATTGACAATGTTTTAAATTTGTTATTTTAAATGAGACCTTAGGTAAAGAATAGTCCATTCTGAGACTGCAAAGCACAAAGATTTTAAATTATATGTATTTTTCACAGGAATTATATTAATTATCCTGACGATGACAGAAATGTACAGTAACTTACTCCTTAATTTACCCAATAGACCAACCAAGATATAAATGATTATCATGAATGATCCATGAAATCAAGTTTGATTTGTGATATACATACAGTATATGCCACACATAATATATAGGTATTTGATGTTTTCAGGTCATGTCTAGTTCTGTATGCACCTTCTTTTTTGAAGAAGTCATGCACTTATAAATGCTAATAGATTTAATTATGAAGTCAGTTGTTTCAGAAAATATATATACGACATAACAGACGTACTGTAATAATAGAATTCATTTACTTAAGATTTGAAATTTGATACCTTTTCTAGATGACGTGTATTATCTGAAAAAAGTGAAGTCAGCAATGCACTTTTGGTACTGTAGCTTCATTATAGTATGAATCACTAATAAAAGCTTTACCTTAGGTATCACCACCTCAAACCTCACTGCAATTAATAAGACTAATATTTTATTAATGCCAGGCAATTTTGATAGAAATTTTGTCCTCTTGTATTTAAAATAAACTTTATTTAATAACAATTTCTGTTGTACTTTTCAAATGTCACATTGTGCTCTCGTATTGAGAATATTCTGTTGAACCTAGTTTGGGGTTTACAAATAACAATCTTAGGTTTATTTAATCCTACCTTTTGCATACACCTCATAGACAAATTAAATTATTTTACTACTATTAGACAACAACAAATACTACTTATACATTTTTAGTTCATTATTGGCCTGATGACAAAGATTCGTCATTGTAAAACTATAAAACATAGGATTTGAATTTTAGTATTCATTTTAAAAAAATAACGGTAATGTAGAATATGCAACACGTAAAATAATTTAGTACAATAAGGAAACTAATCAACCATATCTCTGCAGCAAGATGTACAGTATGCATAGTTCACGAAACGTTGGTATCGGGTTTTTTTTTCCTCTAACCAACCTTATGAATAAAATGATTAGAAAATCTTGTTTGGGGAATGATTTGAAGGTCAGGTGGTGAACAAAGTGAGAGAACTGCATTTGCCTCTTTGCTAGAACAATGAGTGCCAAGACTTGCTAGCTTTGAATTTAAAGAAAAGTTTGTACCAGCATACTGCGTTTCACCTCAAAATATCGGTGTCCTTGAACAGGCCTTCAAGCACCGCGTCACGCCAGGTGGCAGCAGATCTCCTTTTGTGCGTGGAGCTATCCATAGTTCTGAAACACCACCGACAGCACTCAACACTTCAGTAAGCAAGCAAGGTTACAACCAAACCGAACCCTTAGAGAGCTGTGCAAATACAGGTATACTGTAAATATATTGCTTCCTAATCATGAAATTACACTATGACTGTAGTAATTCATCATATTAATCATACTAATGATTTTTTTTTAGTTTTTTGGTAATTGATGGCGAAGTCTGCACCAAGTTTCTCTACTGGGAGGGAATTGTTTTTATTTTTAAAAAATATTTAACATATTGTTCTTTATTGTTTACATGCCTTTCATTTTAAGAAACATCTTTAAGAAGTCTTAAAGCCTGTTCTGCAATTGATCAAAACTATTTTCAGGAAAGTCGCTTTTGGTTAGATAAATTTAAGAACCTTAAATAATGAAACAGTACTGTACCTCTTGCATCAGTATAAAAGCACTGAAATAATGTAAACATAATAGAAACATACACGTAACACAATTGTCCTGTTTGTTGCATATTTCATATGAAAATTGGTTTAAACGAGACCTATACCATTAATATGATAGGCTACTCTAATTAACGATTAACTCTAATTAAATAGGCTACTAAATCTGGCATGTTGAAATTGTAAGCCCTTTTCGAGTTAGTTTTCTGCGAGTAATATTAACATAAAAGCTTGAGAGACAATAAGCATCACTTACACCTTCGCTTTAGGAACAACAACACGCGGTGAGGGATGCTTTTTACAATTCCCAGTGCAGGGCTTCAAAGATCAAACCACAGCTTGCAATCGTAGCTTACATTCATAACAGAACGAGAAACCGAGACGGAAAACCTGAATGGTGAGCCACTGCTGCGACCTCTTAGCCATCTGACGTACCTTCTACCGCTGGTATAAATTAATTCACTTCGTCACCAGTCGTCAATGATTCACAGAACTAGTAAAGTGCAGTTGCGTGTTGCCGAGACTTCAGATCATCATGACTCCTTTATATGATGGAGTAGTGCTGGAGATTGTTGATACTGCTAAGGACTGAGTTCTCCCCGTCGTCCGCTATCCAATGCTTTTTTTTCGAAATGGAAAATATAAGCAACACCACGTATTCAGACCGTCCTATCCAGAATGAAAACAATACAATACCTGAAGTGGCACTAAGTTACCAGATCATTACTTCATTGTTTCTGGGGGCCCTCATTCTGTGTGCTATATTTGGGAATGCCTGTGTGGTCGCCGCTATTGCTTTAGAAAGATCTCTCCAAAATGTAGCAAACTACTTGATCGGGTCATTGGCTGTCACGGATCTAATGGTTTCGGTGCTTGTGCTACCTATGGCTGCTCTTTATCAAGTTTTAAACAAGTGGACACTCGGACAGGTAACTTGTGACATTTTCATTTCTTTAGATGTATTGTGTTGTACGTCGTCTATACTTCATTTGTGCGCAATTGCTTTGGACAGGTACTGGGCGATTACTGACCCCATAGACTACGTAAATAAAAGAACTCCCAGACGAGCCGCTATTTTAATTAGCCTTACTTGGTTAATAGGCTTTTTAATATCTATCCCACCGATGCTAGGCTGGAGAACTCCAGAAGACAGGGCTGATCCCGATGCCTGCACAATAAGCCAAGATCATGGGTATACCATCTATTCCACTTTCGGCGCATTTTACATTCCTCTTATACTCATGTTGGTACTTTACGGGCGGATATTTAAAGCAGCCAGATTCAGAATACGAAAAACAGTAAAAAAGACGGAGAAAAAGAAAGTATCCGACAGGTGCTTAACAGTATCCCCGGCTATCTTTCCTAAAAAAAACAACGGAGAAACAAGCAAAAACTGGAAGCGCAGTGTGGAACCTAAACCAGATTTCTGCACTAATGGAGCAGTGAGGCACGGAGAGGACGGGGCAGCACTAGAAATAATAGAAGTTCACCATAACAACTCGAAAAATCATCTCCCTCTGCCTAATACCCCGACAGCCTCGTTTTTCGAGAACAGAAACGAAAAGAACACAGAGGCAAAGAAAAAGATGGCTTTAGCCAGAGAGCGCAAAACGGTAAAGACGCTTGGAATCATTATGGGAACGTTTATCTTTTGTTGGTTGCCCTTTTTTATTGTGGCCCTTGTGTTACCATTTTGCGAAGAGAAATGCTATATGCCAGAATGGCTCGGGGCTGTGATCAACTGGCTTGGTTACTCAAATTCTCTTTTAAACCCGATCATCTACGCCTACTTTAATAAAGATTTCCAAAGTGCTTTCAAGAAAATTATAAAATGCAAGTTTTGCAGACCATAAAACGTGATTCTTCATTTTTGCACGGTACAGCTGGTGACTTCTTTCCTTGTAGTTTCCAAACGACTGCACTTGCGTTTTTCATTTAAGGAATGCAAAGCGAATTGAAACTGATAACGCTGTATTTTCTTTTTTTTCCCTTATTTCATGAAGTGTTGTTTTATCAATGCAGTAATTCTGATATGAAAACTAAGAGACAAGAGCTTCATAGACAAATTGCCACATGCCTACTTTGAGGCATAAATACAATATAGAGTACATCAGTAAGAATAAACAACCAAAATAATGCGTTGGACAACTGTCTTTCTTGGTAATCTAAGGCATGGGCATAGATATATAGTAAATTGCTTAGTGTACTTCGTCTAATACTGTACATCTACAGTAAATCATTTTATCTTCATTCAAGATGTATCATACTGTGTGCTAACTTCTAATGTAATTACTTTGATGGGAATGGAGGAGCGTTTAATCTCGTGCTCCGAATTAACACGTTATTCCTTGACTAGCCTCAACAAAATAAACCATCCAGTCGCTGAAACCTGTTTGTGTGTACTTTGTGAATGAAAGAAAATAACCATAACGCGAAGAACGGGTCTTGTAACAAAAAATGGTCACTGATACTTTTGACAGATGTTTTTTACTTTGTAAAATAGGCTCTTCATAAAAATATTCATGCACTTTACCTGATTTATACGTGTTCCCTTTATAAAAGAAAACTAATTGTTACACGACTGATGCAATGGTTTTGCTGTAAATGTTTTTACACCCAAGTTTGAATCTTCTGCTGGTGATGAAAACTACTGTCTTTCGTTTTCTTTATTTGTGTGTTTTTTTACTTTAGTACATTTCACATTGTGTGCATTGTTGTACACATTCATATCATTTGGATTAGAATGCATGAAGTAAAAAGGACTGAAACGGTGTTACATACTAACAGAATATTAATTTGAAGGGTGCCAAAATCATTTGGCCATATATTGTAGAGAGATGTATTCTGAAAATGGTACAATGCATTGAAGCTGTTCATCATAAGATAATTTATTAAACTTTGGGAAGCGTTCTCTATAGTATTTTGAGAACATGAAATCGTACGTTTAAATTTACGGTTGATAACACATTTATAATAAACACAGCTCATTCCCTTACATTATCACCCCAATAAAAAACAGAGAATGCAGCAGTGCTGTTCTCAATATCATCTTCATCATCATCAACAACATCATCATTTTTTTTATTACTGTTAGGTAACATAATACTGGTTATGACAGTGATTTCTAATACATAAAAGTTGCAGCATTTTTAATTGTTTGCTAATGACAATTCATCAGAATATTCATGTTCTTAAGATTATGGTCAATTACGGTTTCCGCAATAAAATTTAAATTATGCTGTATTTTTTAGAAAATATATTGATGGCTCTTGCCTTTAAGGTGCAAAACTCAATATTCTTCTGAAAATCATAATTACTTCAGGCAAATGGTGTAGCTAACAAACTGGGCAAAATACACCGTTTTTCACATTGCATTACATAAAATACAGTATAAACAGTCTTCAGAGCAATGGATTTTGCAAATATTTACAAGTGAAAGTAATGCTTGCCTACATCTCTTAGGTCATGAGTTATTTTCCAAACTGCAGCATATGGGTTTTACATGTTTTCCCTAAGTTTGTGTAGAGCTCTGTTTTCCTTCAATCTAGGACTGTGAGACTGTGATAAAGACAGACACAGATGGATTTGTTGGCATGGATTCTACGGAGCACAAACTTGCTCAACAATTTTCCCACGTTGTGTAGATATTATGTTCTGATATGTACATGGCATATGCTGTTCCTTGTCTGTGAGAAGGTATTCCACAAGCAAGTCATTCTTAAACTTAAAGCTGTTGGAATGAGTTTTTCTCCATTTTGATGGACTCTGGCAATAGAACCAAGAGCACTGTCTGAATCAAAGAATACAAGAGGTGGACCCCTACGGGTTCTGGTGATATGTCTCCATTTAGATTTTTGCATATAGATAAGAAGAATGTTATTTAATTTACAATGCCATAAAGGATAGCTGTACTGTACAGTACATGTTATAGTCAACATGAAGACAGCACACTTGAAAAATAATAGATAACAGATAGAATAAATAGATGTTTACAGTAGACACAAACCTATGTCATGAAGGGACAAGGTGAAACTATACTATATAGATATGCCCTAAACAAACCTCATTGAATACTACATGAAGTTTTGGTCATATTACAAAAAGGACATCCTATAACAGAGAACTTTCACATACAGTAAGAGCAAGAAGACTTACGGAGTATGAGGGCAGGCTAAGGGAATGTTAAGGGAAGTTTCAGTCATAGTAACAGAGAAGAGGAGATTTGATTGATGTTCTCAACATTTTAATGGGAAGAAACATGTCTGAGTTAAAAAAAATAAATACTTGCACAATTATTTGAATCCTCCCAAAAATTATTTTCGTATCACCTACATAAAATCACAATGCCAAAATTTCAGTCTACTAGAAATCGTAATCAGGACAACAATAATAAATGAACAGTGTGCTTTGACTTAAAACCCTCACAAGAGAATTTGTGGGTTGTGTGTGTGTGGTGGGGGGTCACACCAAGTATATTATCAGTGACACTTGATATTGTTTTCAGTTTCAGGTGACTGTAAAATCCAGTTTCAATGGTGTACTAAGGAGACCTACAATAGCCACTGTAGATGTCTTCCCAGGAGACACACAAGGTTATACTTTGTGCAAATTAGACTGTATTGACCCTTGTTAAGATGAGCAATAGGGAATACCAATTGACACTAAATAAATTAAGCCTGAAAATTACAAAGTTAAAAGACCAAGTACAATTTCACATTAGACAACCCCCTCAGACATAATCAATCTTTGAAAATTATCAGTCAAATCTTTGGTCATTAATCAATATCAATTACAAAAGAAGAGTGGCATAAGAATATATAGTAAGCAACAGAGAGTATATATTTTGTTTAAAAATACAATGTTAAAACCTTAGTGCAGACATGTACAGTATTAATGCAAGCCAGTTTATTACATCTTAAATAAGTATTAAACCCAAATAATTACTAAATGCCATGTACAGTATACAGTATAAGAGCTATTATTCAAAACGGTGAGAACAAATCCAACATTTTAAATACGTATTCATATAATTTTAAATTCTATGAAAAACTACCATAATAGAATATTTAAGTACAATTACCAATACCTGAACAGGTCACTCAAAGACCTAAAATCAAAGTCCAAATATTAAGACGTCAAGGACGTGCCATAGGTGATAATGTTTTAAAATATTTTTGTATACAGTCTCATATTCTTGTGGCTTATTTTGTCTTAATAATCATGTTTAATTAAGAAACATAATGTTACATTTTGTGATGCAGGTTGCCCTGGAATAGCTGCAGTCTCTAGTGCTAGATATAGAAAAAGTGGAGAAGAAACAGTATCTTTTCAATGAGGCTGCTGATGAAACAAGGTAGTTTTCATGATATCATGTTCGTGGGATGTATAAAAGCAATGGAACTAAAGGCTGTAAAAATCAGAAAATGTAACTATAAAGAATGGAAAGCCTACTTCTACAGTATTCTACTTCTACTGTAGATGTCCTTTCGGACCTCAAAGGAAACAACCCAGCAGTAGAGAATTCTTTCATAAATGTTTAGGATTTCTATTGGATCCTGTTTTCTTGAAATGACATTGGACAAGGGCAGCTGTGTTCATAAGATTGTTACCAACCCCAAGGATACTGGCATCGCACTGCACCAAACACAGTAAAAAAACAATAGGTGGAAGAAACACAAAGGCACAGGACAGACCTCAAACAGGCAGTCCAGGCCAATACAAGAATAATTCTTAGAAAAAAAAGAAATAGGTCACAAAATGATTCATAATGATAGGTTTATGCAAATCAATATGTTTATTTAGTTTGTTACTTAACCATTCAAATGCAGCTTCAATAAAACTACAGTGTACTACGTAAACCTATAGCTTAAGAAATTTGAGTTTCACATCTTACAGTAATATACCCTGTAAAAACTGCTTTGTGACTTGGTTCTTATCTTAGCCTCTTCTGAAAGCCTTGCTGTAAAAGTGATTAATTGTAGCAATATGTTTATTTTGTGAATAGTAACTTGTATGTTGAGTAAATGTATATCTTTTGCACCTATTACTCTATTTAAGGGCTTAAATAGGATTTAAAGTGTTTCCAAAGTTTTAAAAGTTTTTTTTTTAATTTGAAGCTCAGATTTTTTTTTAAATTATTTATGTCATTCTGATTTGTAAATGAGCCTCCCTGTATCACTCTTAGGAACTGTTATAACTCTTATGTTATCTTTTCCTAAAGATTCAGAACACCTTTGACTTACTGATCAATTAAATTAAGCAAGTACTACTATCTGCTGTATACTGCATCAGTACATAGCAAGCACTAGAAATGATACTCAGACAAATGTCATAGAACTCTTGTGCAGCAGTTATGAATGGATTATGAAGTCATTATGCATTCAAATACAGTGTTACTGCTAAACCTATTGATTATGAATATGAATTTTAACAATTAGGAAATCAGAGTCTATATAGGAAATAGCTGTGAATACATTATGCAATAAATCATATTAAATTGTCATACAATTTGTTGGACCACATAAAGATAGTTCCATACTACAACCACTAGATATAAAGATTTCTATATTCCATATTCCACTGATTCTTTCAATTCTCAGCATAATCCCAATCTTTCACAAAATGCTGACATTGCTTTATTAATGATAGTATAACAGTAATGGACCTTTTAGGGAGAATGCAATGGTACTTACACCATTCATCAACAACAGCCCAACAGACTGTAATTGACTGTACCCCAAATACTGTATCAACATTAGTCTGCTCCAGTGGACCTCTAATGGACATGATTGGCATACAGGTGTGACAGAAATCCAGGATTTGAGAGAAGTGTTCTCTGCAATTCGATTTTAGAAACAGATATTAGAAACTGCTTGCTTTGTGACCTGGTTCTTCATTTTGTCTCCTTTGAAAGTCTTGCTGGAAATGTGATTAATCAGTGCAGTAAGTTATTTCCTGATGAGCAAAATGTGTCTTTATAGGTACTGTTCCTACCTCATTGCTCTTGTCAGAAATGGCACTGTTTACATATTCTTGGGCACAGTGTTGCCTTTTACTCTTGTTAGGGTATTTAAATAATGCGAGAACAAAAAAAAAGAAAGGTTACAAATGAAAATTGGTCATTTGATCCATCTAGCTC